TTCAATCCTATCATGGATTATTTATATGTTCAGGTAGTAAGGGAATAAGGATTAGCTAGTGAAAAGTTAAATTCTGGGTAGCTGCTGTTACATTCATTACCATATGCTTCTGTACTTTTAAGAATACAGTGTTACGCTTTCTTTTGCTTTTAATTCCACATTTAGTTTTGAACTTTATACTGTTTAAATTTTAAGGTGACTTGAAGCCGTCAAAGATTTCCACTGATTTTTAGGTGGTGCAGACAGCAGTGCCAGAATTGACTTTTTTCTCTTGTCAGGGCAAAAAGAGATAGGAGTGCTATTCCAAAGCCTTAGGGCTTTTCCTGTTTGATTACCAGCACATTTTAATAAGCACTTCAATGAGCCTGACTTTGAAAAGAGCAGGAGCTTGCTTTTCTGCCAAATGTTATCAAATGTGACATGCAGTTTGACATATTGCAATTTGAATATTAGCACGTAGAAATGACTAGATGGGTGCTAAGCAGGTCATTTGCCTGTGCAGGCATGTTGATTAAGAGAACATGGGACTGTAAGGCATTTTCCAGCAAGCAAAGAGCAAATCCTGCAATTAACTGAACTTCCACAACACTTTGTTAGTGGTGGAAGTGGGGTATTTACTCAGTGCTTTGCTGACCATACTCTTTGTTTTAATCTTACGTTAACTGCATAGTAGTGATAATACTTTTAATTTCATCCCTCCATTTCCCATTTTAATGTATTTGACTTTTATGCCTTGTTTTAGTTTCCTTCCCTATGGCTGACTAGCAAATTTTTGAACTGAGTTTCCTTGCTTCATCAGTAGGCTTTGAGTCTTTTGTTTGGATGCTAAATACTTCAGGCAGGACAGGTTGCCCTTGTCATTTTAGAGACCTGACAGTCATCCTGTAGTCTCCTTGTTGCTTCTCTTTTTGTTCCTAATGTCTTTTTTTAGATGTTTACTCATTCAGTTAATTCTTCAGACTTTTTCAAAAGATTTTCCGCTGTGTTGAGGATGCAAATCTTGCAATTCTAACTTAAAAGAAATTTGACATCTGAAGTGTCAACATGTGTAAGTCGTTGGATGTGTTAAACACAAAAGCAGTAATTTGTACTATTCCCTTCCCTAAGTGATTCTACAGAGCTATCATCAGTCTGTAGGAGTAGAGGTCTGGAGCTGCGGTTGGCCCTCTTCAACTTATTCACAGAAGCAACTCATTCTGAGCTGACTGCCAGTTTTCTCATGAGGGAGGAGTTGAAGGGCATCTTGCATTTCTATCCAAACTCTGAGGTGCATAAGCAGTAGCTCGTAACCAAGCAGTATCCTCACTTGTCAATAATGTTGTGCCAAGTTAGATCAGGATAATCTAAACCTGAATTTAGACCAGGATTTTAAAGCTCCTTTTACAAATAACATCTCTATGAATTTTATTAATATTCCATATTTATCCCTTGCACACAATGTTATTTTCCAAATTCTACTGAATTTACTTGTAAGTATCAAAATACAATGCTTTTTTTTTGGTTGTTTGTTTCATAAACCGCAGTTTCACAGTGCTTCTCTATTTCAAGGAGCAACGTAAAGCTGCAGTATTTGCTATAATTAAGTGCTTCTGGTGGATATTTGGAGTTTTGTGCATTGCTAATGAATGACCCTGATTTACATTCTTGCTGGACTATTTGCAACAGGTTATCCTGCATACCAAGTGACATGGGACCATTTTAACAGACTAAAGATCGAGCAGCTATATAGATTTTTTTCTAGACCTGTCTTTTCTGAGACTTCAGTCTGTCATACACCTTCTGTTTTGATCTTAACACTCTAAACTGGCTTTAAAATAAAAGGATAAACAGGAGAATATACTAGTCCGTTCATACTCTGTTTTCAAAAAAGCAATGCAATCCCTCTCTTAGATTTGCTAACTAGCTCCACCTTCTGGGGACTGGACATCCCTACTAATTGTGAACAAGAATTTTCAGCGTGAGTAAGGAGTAGGTGATTATTATGTATAACTTAATCACGTGAGAATATAGTTTTATCTTCTTTCCTGTGGTGAGTACAATTATATTTATAATCTGTAATAAAATAATTATCTTTCTTCAGTCATGAGGGTAACAAAGCCTACAAACTTACAATTTTTATTGTTTTCTGCAATGCAAAACACGTATACGTAAAGCTCTGTATTCTTTGGGACATGAAATACTCAGTAGGATTTATTTTTAATATATTTAGCATTAATGTCCTTTAATGAAAAAAATAGCCTTGAGAATTTAAAATCTTTAAATTCCTTCTTAACGCAGCTGTTACTGACAAAAATTACTTAGGTTAGTACTTAGTGTTCCAAACATGTAGTCTCTCCCGAAAAATCCGTGTGAGAAAATGATCTTGAAGCTACTACAGGGTATGTGCAAAATAATTTGGAAACTCCCAACAGAAGGTAGTTATCAGTTGTTTACTGTCAACCTGGAAGTCTGCGTGAAGTAGAATCCACTTACATTTGTTCTGGGTCCAGTATTATTCAATATTTTCATTACTGACTTGGCTTATGAAATATGGATGATGCTTATAAAATTTGCAGATGCTTAAAGCTGGGAGAGGCTTTAAGCACCATGGGAGCAGGATTAGAATGGAACTTGATGAAACAGAGCACCGAAATATCAGGATGCAGTTCAGTAAGGACAAGTACAAAGTTGTGTTCCTGGAGAAGCAGAAATACACAGTGCAGATTGACTGGTTAAGTGGCAGCTCAGTACAAACAGATCTAAGTGTTATGTGACTTGTGGCCAGCATGTGACCCCCTCTTCTAGGAAGAAAATGTGTCAGTAAAGCTCTTTAGCCCTATCCACGTAACCTAAAATTGTAATAGCAGGTTCACGAAGCATGGCTGGTTCTAGAAATTCAGCTTTTTCTCTCGTCCTGGCTGTCAGTGCACTTGCAAGATACTTGGCTGTGTGTCCAGCTCTGCTTTCCCATGAAAGTGGAACAGATGCCTGTTAGCTGTACCTCAGGTCTACTTTGAAGTGGCCAGGTATGATCTTTTTCATTATTTGCTCAAGTCAGAAGCAGACAATGAACTCTATTCTTATCACATACAGTGATAAGAACTGAAGCAGTGAACAGTTCACTGGTTCAGTATGCATTACATCTTCTGATCTTATGCTGTTGCTTTGCTTGGCATTTATTTACTGATTAATTTAATAAATTACTATCATTTAAGACTTGAAAGGAGAGTTTAGATTGCCTGGTCTTTCTAGTCTGACTTCCAGCATGTCACATCTTGTCGTCTACCTTATTTCTAAATTTGACTGTGTCTCGCAGCAGCCTCCAGCCTTTGGTTGTTCTTTTGCTTTTATTCCCTAGAATAAACATCCCCTTTAGTACTTGTTAGTTTCTCCTCATGAAGTTGCTGCTCAGCATTTTCCATAGGCTTAAGGAAATTAAGCTCTAAATCTTGGTAGCTCTCCATTTTTTCAGCAGTCTCTTAAAAAGGTGTTCACCAGACTCTTAGTCAACAGCATGTATAAAATCCCCTCCTTGTGCTGGAGCATGAAACTGGCAATGGTTTATGTTCTGTTTTGTTCACGATGGCTCTAACTTCCTAACTGCTGTTTTCCAGGGAACAGTTCTTCAGTATGTACTTAAATGCGTATGACTGTATTAAAACACACATTCTCTGACCACAAAGACGTTATTTGCAAATCCTGGCTTTCAAAGTTCTCTCCAGGCTTCTTGGCTACCGTTTTATTCATTTACATATTTCTCTGGAGCGTAGCCAAATTGACTTTGCAACAGGCAGCTATGTCTTCCTGCCTGAAGAACTTCTTCAGTATTAGTGAGTCTTTCATTGGCCTGGCTCAGAATGTTACCTGAAACAGCCTGCTGTTATCTTCCAATAATTGCAATTTAAATGGAACGGATTTTAATTATCATTGATTCTTAATTACACTAATGTACAGAAAACAGGAGTCAGTGATGGAATGTATTGTCAGTTACACTTCCTATTTACATATAGATCCTTCTAGAGTGTTCATTTCTCTTTCATTTTAAATTATAATAGTGAAACTGAGATCTGGATTCTGAGGGAGGGCGATTTGTTGCTTTTTTTTGTTTGGTTGGTTCGGCTTTAATTATTTGCTGAACTTAGAAGGGTAGGCAAAACCGTATGCAACTGCAGTGCGGGTCTGATATTATTAAATCCTGAAAAATTCAACAATGTCTTGGGTAATTGGGCAAGTCTGAGTAAGCTGTTCTGATTTTCCTCTCTTCCTAGTTATCACTTTGTTTCATTTGTATTGTATTAAGGAGTCCCATTTTTCAACCAGTTCACTAGCTTGTTTTTTCTGATATTCTATCATATCTTTTAAAAGAGCAAAACATATTACAAAATAGTTCTGAATCTCTCTGCTCAAAGTAGCTAAAAAAATAATGAGTTCAATATCTCTAAATATTTAAAGAGAGCAATATAGGGAGAAGCTAAAAAGAAGGAGGAACGTGACCTGAAGGTTAGTATTTTTCTAGCCTGTGTACATTAAACAGATAATATCCTTGAAGACACCTATTTGTTCTTCTGTTTTTCCTTCCAGCACCCACTTTTTCTTAAATATGGGCTCTTTCCCCCTGTTTTTTTGCTGGTCCTTCTTTTGTTTAGATAGCCAGTTGTCAGTGCTGGAAAGAATGGGAGATCTTCATCTCCACTGTATTCATCTTCTGCTACATGAGTTTTCACAGGTTTCCCTGTATGCCCTGTTTATGATGCTTTAATGCAGGTTTTACAGGGAAGTTAGATCTGTTAAAAACTCATTGTTTCATGATACAATTGGATTCAGGCCAAGAACTTAGCCCCAGTCTCAGTGGTAAGCTGTAGTCCTACCTATAAGCATACTCTCCAGCGTCATTTGCTGTACCACCGTGGTTAGGATAGAGATGCAAGGTCCTTTTTAAAGTGTGGGCCGTTCTTTCCCTTCTGAAAAGGATTTTCACTGCGAGTTTTCTGTTTTGGAACAGATGATGTGTCTTGTTCTAGGTGACTGGTACGAGCAACTTTATCCCCTGGTGATTACGCTGAAGGACTGCATGGGAGAGGTGGTGACCAGGGCGAAGCAATCGATGGCGTTTGTTCTGCTCCAGGAACTTGCCTGTGGTTTGCCACAATGTTTAATGCTGACACTAAGAAGAGACATCGTCTTTAGTCAAGCAGTAGGTTGTCTTGTGTCACATCTCCTACTGTTGCTATAATTAAGCATTCTAATCATGCCAGTGTTTGTGGATTTTGTTGGTTTTATTTTAAAACAACTTTTTCATCTATTTTCCATTGCATCCACTTAAGTATTTTATAATGTGAGAGAGAAATAAATAGTAAATGGAAATCCATAGTAACTTTGTCAGTGAGTCAGAGAAGTAGGTCTGCAGTGGACTGGAAAACGTTACCTCATCTCCCTTTTGCACAAAGAGAATCCATAAAGCTATTTTTAGTCTCCCTAGATTATATGCCAGTATCCTCACCCTTAGGTGAAATTCCCAAGTCTAGCCTTGAATAGTCATTGCTGCTATTCAGGCTAGGTATTTCCTTCCTGATCACCTTGGAAATGGGGAACAGGTTATTTGTTTTCTGTTTGTAGCAGTATTTTATGCGTTTAAAGACTACTAGCATGTCTATTCTCTTGATAAGTAACTGAAGTTTTTTTGATCTTCTTCTGTAGATCGTGTTTTCCAGACAGATTTTTCTCTAAATGAGTTGTCTAATTTTTACCTTAAGTTATGTTTTTCCTAACATAATTAAGGAGTCTAGGGTGCAACTGCCAAGGAGATTGAGTTGCATTAGATGCTTAACTGCCTTCAAATCCATCATAATTCAGAGCCGTATGTGCTTATAGCCTGCCAACGGAGATTCTGATCTCACTTATGATGGTGTAAATAACACACAAACCCACAGAACAAATGAAGCTTATCTAATGTAAAATAATGGAATATTTCACTGCTTTTTACACCAAAAAAAAAGCCTCAATAATATATTAACGTGAAATTATGTATGTAGTCACTAAATAGAAATATCTGTGCTCTTTTCTCAACTATCTAAATATTACTTCTGTTGTGAAACATAGTAGGAAGCCTCATTTTAACTGTTTTAACTGTACATCTGTTCATTTCACATTTTGTCATTGTCTTTATAGCTCGCTGGATTGGTCTGTGGGTTTATTATCAAACTGCACACAGGTTTACACGACCAAGGATTTTTACAACAGCTTCACACTGTTGGCTTGCTTGTGCAATATGAAGGACTCCTTAGTACGTATAGTAAGTATTGCTCTAGAACAATGTTTCTCACACATTCAGACCAGAAGCTTACCCAGGAGTTTCTTATTTTAATCTCTGTTCTGCTTCCAGTAATTTGGCCTACTGAATCAACAATATTATCCTTAAGAGACAGTAGGCTTCCATATAATGAAGTCGTTGATATGGCGGTGTCAATTCTGCATCAAAAATTACTCATTTATTTTAGTCTCAATTCCTTTGAGAACACTGGTTGTTAATTATTCATGCAGAGGGCTGAACTGTCTTAGGTACAGAAGAATCCTTCCTCAGTACAGCTAGTGGAACTTCTGATTTTATTAAAAACTGTCTGCATTTGTATGGGCATTTGGCCTGACCAAAAATAGCAGGTCTATAAAGCTAACCCAAACAGCAGATTTAGACAGTTACTGACTGTCAGCCTCTGCCCTGACCACACCAGCATGGGTGATAAGAAGATAGCTTGAAAACTCTTTGAGCTTGTTACAGATACCATCATTTGATAGGTAAAAAGGACATTTGGAGGGAGAAACTGCCGTATGTTTCAAAATGCTTTGAACTACATGCATCATTCTCCAAATTAGAGATTTTGATCATAGTAGCAGGATTTAGCATTTGTGTAGCTCCTTTAATGCATTTCCTCACTTGGAGATTGCTCCCAGGCTCTCTTTTGCATGATACTCATTGTTGTTATTCTCAAAACCTTTGTCCTCCATCAGCGGGAAAGTCTTTAAAAACACTTTCATAATAGACAAAAATGGCTTTTTCTGAGGTTATTCTATGCACATATAGAGCAGGCTGATTTTCAGAGGTGCTTAATACTCATCATTTAGGCCACAGAGAAGTGTCAGCAGTTCTAAAAATCAGTCTGCTTTTATGTAGGTTTCATTAATGTGGATTTAGGGCTGTGATTTTTAGATGCACAGACTGGAAAGTATAATCCCCAAATTGCTTTACTATAACCTGTTCAGTGACTGATGTGTCTACTCTGTTAATAACCTCTGTAATCTTTCCATATAGGTGAAGAAGCAGGGATGCTTGAAGACATGGCTGTGGGAATTTCTGATTTGCAGAAAGTAATGTTTAAAGTCATTGAAGCTAAATCAGAAGATTTTCTGCCTGTTATAACTGGAAGGCGGTAAGAACTTTGTTTCCTGGAGCCCATGGCATGTAGTTTTAATCTGTAGCACGTGAAAACCCAGATAAAGTTTTTCTTGTTGCTGAGTTCTATTATATGGAAAGTTTTACTTTTCATGAGATGAATGGAAATGGAATGAGGTGATAGGGGTTTGTAAAGTTAGTGGAAATATGGGGTTTGGGATAATTTCCTGAAGAAAAGGTGAAAGTTCCAGTAGTATTAGTACAATTTAATCAAAACAGTGTCTGGGTTGTGCAGAGTTTCTGCTGTATTTTCCAGATATATACACAGAGAATAAAAGAGAAGTGACAAGGTCAGTATTTGAAAAAAAGTGGCCTCTAACTGAAGAAACCTTGGTTTTGAGTTATCCAGAACTTGTGTTTCAGTGTGACAAATGAAACTCCATTTCTAAGAGTTAGGCCTTGATTGTCTTAAGATGGAAACTGAGGAACTCGGATGCCCCAACTTAGTGGTCACTGTTGAAAAATTAAGCCTATCTTAGTTGGTGATGATCATATAGGACATACGCAACCTCAGAAATCCTTGCATAAAGCCACTAGTTCTTTATGCATCTCACATAAGCACTGCTGAATATCAGGACGTAGACTGAAATACTTCATTGAATGTGGCTATAAAAGGGTTAACAAGATTGTTACACATGAGGAATGGGGTTTTTCACCTTCATTATTATTCTAGTCTGAAGCTCCAAATGTTTTTACTTTTGCAGAAATCACTTCCTTAATAGTATCATTATTTTTAAGATGACTGTAAATTAAATTCAGCTGAAAGCAGCAGCTTTGAGAAAAAATGTTTCCTCTGAAGGGGGCTTTCACCACTGATTTACTTAATTATTCTGGATGATTCACTCTCATCCTATGGGCCTTCCGAGAAAGGGTTGAAATAAATAGCAGGAAGGCCAGAGTATGATAGGCAACACATCGGGAATAATTAAGAATAATTATGGTATGTAGATAAAACAGAAGAAACACATCCTTTGTAAATCACAGCAGTCAAAAATCTTGAAAAATCCAGCAGCTACGTTTACTGGCTTGCTGCCATTACTGCAGTACACTGAACTGTCACACTAGGAGTTCCTGGGTTTGAAAGAGACTTGAGCTTTAAGCTGCCTCAGGCATTCTGGATTGATGGAGTAGTCAGTCTTTAGGAAGAAGAGTTACTGCCTGTGATTGCTGTACTGTACTTACTGGCAGGTATTCCCTGGATGAAATCAGTATCACACACAAAAAATATAAAGTCTTTAAGGCTTATGTGGAAGAGCCTTAGAGCTTCCTCTCAGAGCTGTGATGAGAGAGCTCCTATCAGACAGCATCGAAAGTCAACCATAGAGAGAGAAGACAGTGGAAAAACTCCCTTATTTCTAATTAATGTTAAAAATCCAATAATTTTGAGTTTGGTTGTTACATGGTGTGGCTTGAGAAAATGAGACTAAATGACCGTAGAAAGGCAAGACAGAAAATTAAGCTACAAATTCTTATCTTGCAGAGTTATTCACTTGTAGTCATTTTCCTAGGGAAGTGCTTAAGACTGAGGTTCTGTGTACACAAACAAATCAATCCAAGGAGTGTGGCATTGACTACCAGCGTGCTACCCTCCTGATGTAGGTGGCTGACCTCAACCACCCAGGTGCAGAGAAGTTCTGTTCAGACACTCAGTGACTTTTATTAGAGGCAAAAGTAGTTAACACTTACTTTTAAAATGTTCTTTGATAGAAGGTATTTGGTTGTACACACGAACTTTGGGGCATCACAGGGTTTGATACCATGTTTTCAACGAAGCCCAGGACCAGACTAGGACAAGGCAAAGGTGCATGCAAATGACTTGTTTTGTGTTTATTGCAATGAACTGATTGTGCAATTCCAGCCAACTGCATGTAGCTGTAGGGTCTGTGGCCTGCAGTTGTGTGGGGTAGTTCTTAGAAGCCTTCTAACAGGGCTGCAAGTGTTTCTCTGTTTTATATGTGATGATAACAAATATTAGAGACTAAGCCAAATAAAGTCAAAGAAGGGGATATTCTTAAGCAGTCCTGTTTCAGTGAGATCATATCCATTTAAATATTTAATACCTAAATCTATACAGTTGGTTTTGAAAGACACAACTATTTACTATTTGCTCTTGTAAACATGCTGGATTTCTCCACCCTGTTTTCCTTAGAGATCATTAAATGTTAAAAATTATGTACTGATTGTTCTTTCTCATTGGAAAATGTAGCAGCCATCATATCCATCTCATGCCAAAATCAGCTGGTATCTTTGCAATGAGTCTTACCATAGAAGAGGCAAACTACACGCTCATAAAATTTACTGCTGTATTACTGTTTCGTGTTTAAGTAGAAGCATAGAATCTGTAGGCTTTTGGTGAATCATGTCCTCTAGATTTCAGTACTTTGAATTTTTTTTTCTTTTCCCACTACCTGACTTTAGTACCATTCCTGGACTTCCTAGACAGCTCTCTGTCACAGCTTTTCCTTACAGGATGAGAAGTGGGCTGTTTTCATTGTGCAACTGGGTACAGATTTTTAAAAGTTACTAAGAACTATCTCTGAGACTTCAAAAAATTGTTTTCAAAAAGAAAAAAATGGACAAGGGGAAGTGAATGCGCTCAAATGGTACTGATAGTAATTTATCATGCCTAAAGGTCAGCATTTCTCAATGTTCTTTCCCACACTTAAAGATTTCTAGTGATTTTGGGGGTGTGAAATACAGCAATGCAGTGATTTAGTGGCATTTTGGTTCAGTAGCGTATGCTGTTTAAATTAGACTAAACCAACATTTCTTCTCCCTCTCACGAAAGTACTCCATCACAGAAACCTGTTCGGGTAGCACTTGGCAGCAGGTAGGAGTGCTCATGTGCAGGCTGAGGATGAACATTTGTAGGGAGTTCTTGACTGTCATCCTTGCTAACTCTCTATTTCCTTCACATGAGTGAATTAAATAAAACACAAACCAAATAGACTTATCTGAGGCGTAGAGCTATTTCTTTCTTTTCATTCCCTCCCTCTGAGATGTGTATCCTCCATTCAAAACTGATAACACCCCTCGGCAGGGAGGGAGACATCTCAGTAGAGAAATCACAGCATTTGCTCAAGGAGTACACACTAGTTCTAGCCCCCACCAAAGCATATGCTGTTGCTCTAGCTGAATGGAATTACTTTTCAGTCACAAGTCTGTACTGGATTCATTTTATTGTGTTCTCAGGTATATGGGCAGGATAGAGATTCAAACGTGACCACTAGCTCTTCTAAGCTGAAGCTGTTTATCCAAACCCCTGCACGGAAGTAGGGACACTCATCCCTCCAGCTTGCCAAAGGTGTCAGAGCTACTGCAGAACCTGAAGACATTTTTCTTCCAGATTTTCTACCTTTTCTCCCCAAAATTCGATATGTGGGTAATCTGGATTGTATTTTAACTCTTTAGCAAGCACATGATTGATTAAAATAAGGGTTGGAGGGACTTCATGGTAAATTATGTGGATAGGTGCACACAGTTTTCCATCTTAAGTTTACACGCTAGAGTTGTGTGACTTCCTAGGCATGGTTTCTGTAGATAAGCTATAGATCTGCCTTCATTCCTTTGCTCCTCTTCCTTCTTAGTGGTATACCAGATCTGCTCTGCGAGAGAGAAAATTTCAGCCTCCTTTGTCAGTTGGCTCTCTTCGAATCATACAGTGCCAAATCCAGGAGACAAATAGATTTGCTTCTAGTCTGTTCTTTTTTTTATTAGACTGATTGCTCTAATAATGGAAAGCAAGCTAATAAAAAAATAAATTACAGCATGCCATTGTTTCTGTTGTGGGATCGGGTACCAATCCTCAAAGACAGGTGGAATCAGCTTAAGGGTTCCACATGATCAAAATTTGGAGTGGCAGCCAAAGTAACATAGTTTTCATCAAGTCAGACCAAACACAAACATAAAACCACAACTGCGATATATCGTATCTCTTCTCCTAAAATAGTATTCGTGTTTGTGTAATGAGCCTTCAGTTGTTATCTTCACTGAGTCAGTACTGTTATTGGTGATGCTTTCTATCCCCAGGGAGAAAATCCAACCACTGAAGAAAATGGAAATTTTGTTTTAGGTTTTTCTGAAAGGTTTTTGTTCATATGCTGTTTAGACTGGGTACAGGATCGAGTTGTGACTTCTGAAAGGAAGTTGGTTTTGTAACTCAGCAAGATGCATTTTAAGAGTTGAAGTGTTCTCATTGATATTTTGGTAGCAGAGGACGTTTTTACTGCTTTCATCTTTAGTCCTATTTTCACTTCAGTAAAGAAGTCCATATCAAGAGTGTATAATATATATATGTGCCTTTTTCAATATAGCTTGGTTATGCTCTTAAAACAAGTAAGGTGCATCGTCATATTTTATGGTTCGATACAATTAAGGGGAAAAGGGGGGAACTGATTTATAAGTCTGCATGTTCTCTACAACCTTGGAAAGGTTATAATTTCAAGCAAACCAATCAATATTCCCATCCTTATTCTTCTTTTTATTTTTCCTAGTGAACATTACATTATAGAGGTCCAGCTTCCAGCAAAGATGTTTGAGTTGCTGCCACAAGAGATTAAAGGAGGAAAGCTACTTCGCATGTATCCAGTACTCTTTAATGTTGGAATCAATGAACAGCAAACACTTGCAGAGAGGTAAGAAAAAAACGTGTTTCGTTTTCTGTCCAACAATGCCATGCTAGTACAGGATATCTCTCAGGATTAAAAATAAATCTTTTTTGATAGTTGCTCTTGGACCACCTCACATTGACTCAGTGTGTATTTTAAAAGGTATTAAAGTAAATAAGCCCAAGCCTGTGAAGCAATGCAAAACCATGAAAAATTCCAAGTGAAAATATGACCATATGAAGGACTTTATTTCACACAGACAACACCACGTTTCCTTTGGATACAGTTATAAAATGGATTGGTATTTCATGGATGTAGAATTTCATTCGTATACAGTACTTTGGTCTTCTCAAATGTGAATTTGAAAATTTGAAGTTCTTATGATCCTAAAGGTGGGGTTGAAGAGGCCAAACAAGTCATAAGCTAGAAAGAAATAATTTTTCTTAGCTTTGTAGGGCTTTTTTTCTGGGTTGAGAGGTAGTAGTTGATAATAGGGAATATGTTAGTAATATGTTTTCAGAAACATGAAGGCTGATGTTAAAGTTCTGATGTGTTAATATTACTCCTCTAAAAAGATACCTGGGAACTAATTAATTAGTACAATAATAGTCAAAGTTTCACCAACCCATTAATTTTTTTCTTCCAAGAGAAGGATATCTGTTGGTCGTGTTTAATTACCAAGTTTGTGCAGTACTAAAACTGCAAGCTGGACATAGGCAGCCACTTTTCTTTTTTAAACTGGTTTTATTAACTAAGCATCCAAGAACCATAAAACATATCCTTAGATTGTATTCACTGGGGAAAGTGAGACGGTGAAAAACCCTGAACCTGGACAGTAGGCAAGAAGTTAAGCACAACAGGAGTTTCACATCCTGGTCTTTGTAGACAGCAGAGTAGAAGGAAGACTTACAAGGAATGCCATCAGGTAGCTTTGTGGATGTTTATGGGAGACAAGTTGTGAGTGGTGACCTGTGAGAAAATTTAGGTAGAGAATTGAAGTGGAAGACATTGACTGAATCAGAAGACAGTAAAAACTGGCATTTTACTGGTGAAAGTGTTGAGTAGTTGCTTAGGGAACTTGAAACATTCCTGAAAACAAAAATAACTTACTCTTGATGCCTTAAAGAAGGGGAAAGTGATGCTATGAGAGGAGTGACATGGCTCAGAGTGTGAACTTACAAAATCAACAAAATCAGTGACAATGACAGTTGTGACCTTTTTCCAAAATCTGAAAAGGAATATGCAGTAACCAAGAAACAAGTTTGTGAGAGCTTATATGGGTGGGATAGGCAGGAAGGACTGTATGTTGCAAGTGTCCTGAAGAAATATTTGACAAGATTTAGAAACAGCCTGGTTATCATGGACTTGTAGAGGAGTTGGTGTGAAAAGACGTGTGGCTTAGAGGTGGAGTGACGGGAAGAATGGTAGCATTTTCCACAGTGGTGCTTTTACATTGTGCACAAAGAAAGCCATGAATGAAAAATTAGTATCTGTATACCTACAAATATAGATATATATTAACAGCTATATCAAGCAAATCAAATTGGATTATTCCTTACAGAAACAGCTTTTCTGCATGCACTTCCAGGTGTAAATATTGGACTTGATTCAAAATATTGCTTAACTCCTAAATCTGCATGTTTGTCTTTGAGGTTGGAAACACTATGTGCTTTTTGGTAAAAAATACTTTCTCTGGGAGAAAATGAGCATAAGAAGATGAGAATAAAAATAAAGTTTTATGATAAATTTCTAGAAAATGTTACTTTATTAGATGCAAACATCTTTTTCAGTGAAGCACCGTTGAGAATATATCTGATTTAAAACAAATATTCTCCTGTGACAGTGCAGCAGTGGCTACTGAGGATGTAGCTGAGTCTTTTCTCTCTTTGGCCCATTTAAATATTTTATTCCTTTCTGCAGATGTAGCAGTACATTTGGTGTGGTGTCCCCTTTTCTCCACCTGAATTTCTCACCTGTGCAATCCTTTCTTTCTGTACTCCTCCATTTCCCTTTTTGTCTTCCTTTTCTTCATTTCAAGACTATTCTAATGAGTCTTGATTCTGATGAGTCAGAAGAACTTGGCCCTAGGTGCCTAAGGAACATGCCTGTCTTTCCATTCATATCTCTCACAGCAGACGTACCAGTTTGTGGATTAGCACAAAGGCATCCTGATGTTGTCAGGGTTTTCTGTTAGGTGCAGGATAATGAGGATTTGGGTGATATGTTCCCAACAGACTTGATAGCTGCAAGAAACCCCAGAATATGCTCCTGAGCCAGCTGCAGCACGGTGGAGCGACTGCTGAGGTCTCTGTGCTGCAGCAAGCTTAAATGCAGGTGACTCAAGTCAGCTAGCCTGCGGGTCATAACTCTGTGAAGCTCAGTGGTTAAATCACTGCTCAGCAGCAGAGAAATGGCTGTTTCATTAGTTTCAGATGCAAGAAACCAAGGTAACTATCAGCTCAGGAGCTGTGTAGGGCAGAAAGGGCCCAGGGAAGTAATCAGTTTGACTATTTATAGCAAATACCCTCAGACCACAGCAGAAATTAGTTCTTCAGAAGGTTTTCCACCTGATACTCGCATCTATTCTGTCTTGTGTGGCTTCGATATTGCCCAGCCGGGGTAGAAATTAATATACCTAAGCAACAGCAGCAGTGGGAGGTGCAGTACTTACGCGCCACAGTTCTCTGCCTGTGGTGCCACTGGAAATTCCCACAAAAATCCCTCGCATTTATTCAGGAATTATGAAGGGAATAAGAATATGTGCTTTATTGAATGTTTCTCTGGAATTGGATTACTTTGTTTATAGTTTTTTTGAATTATCCATGAGTGATGACCCAAACATTAGTTCCAAAGCACATGAGAGATTAGCAACTGTACGTTTGACAAAATCTAGTACATTCTCTACTAGAAAAAAACCAAAGTTCTTTCTTTATTCAAAGAAATAATTCTAAATTCAGCTTTTTTTTTCTTTAATCATTATATTTTGCTTTTTTATAGGTTTGGAGATACCACTTTGCAGGAAAATATTAACCAAGAAAACTTAGAACTTCTAAAAGAATATTACAAGCTGTTTACAGAAAAAATGCCTCCTGATTGTGAGTACAAAATAATGCAATATTGAAATGGCTTTGAAAAGGTTGGATAAGTGAAAGATTAAAAGAAACTAATATTATCATAGAATCACAGAATGGTTTGGGTTGGAAGGGACCTTAAAGACCATCTAGTTCCAACCCCCCTGCCATGGGCAGGGACACCTTCCACTAGACCAGGTTGCTCAAAGCCTCATCCAGCCTGGCCTTGAACACTTCCAGGGATGGAGCATCCACAGCTTCTCTGGGCAACCTGTTCCAGTGCCTCACCACCCTCTCCGTGAAGAACTTCTTCCTGATATCTAATCTACATCTCCCTGCTTTCAGTTTAAACCCATTACCCCTTGTCCTGTCACTGTTAGCATCATAGTAGTGTGCAGCTTTTAGACTTAGGCCTTGATCCCATAACTTGTTCTGTGAAGTTAAACACTTTGTGCCTGTACACAGCCCTGCTGAAGTCAGTAGTGATTGCAGCCCCAGTGCCACAGCAGAAAACTACAGGGAGAGTTTGCAGCCCCAGTGCCACAGCAGAAACTACAGGGAAACAGAGTAACGATGAGCTAAGCAGCTGTTTTACATTATTAATACAATATGCTTTTAAATATTTTGGGTAAAGGACAGTCTGTACCTTCTATTTTTGTACAGAAATACTCAGTGGGACATGTTATTAATTTCAGTCTTTCCCTCCATTCTTATTTTCAAAATGTATTAACGTATGGCAAAGCACTGAGAAATATGCAGATGCAAATATAAACAATGAGCCATGTCATAATTTCACTGATATGAATAATGTGGTTCCATTAGAATAGGCTCTATATTGCAATTTTATAGAAATTTGGTATTATAAACATGAGTATTCTGTTACTCTGTTGAAAGAAAACACTGAAAAGACCATTTGTATCAATCTAACATTGTTAAAATAGTCTTAATGCCTAAACTATATTCCCAAATGTTGCAGATTTTACAGTCTGATTCTTAAATAGCTTGGATCTAGGTCTCTGCCCTTTGCCCTGGGATAAGGGGGTGACAAATCTTTTGAATCTAAAGATTTATCATCCTACAGAACGTGTGTGTACCTCCTTGTGGTGAATACTGCTGGTTAAAATCTTATGCAAAGCTTCTCTTCTCTTACAGGACATCTTGTGTCCATTACTTTTGCAAATTATCCAATACATGGCTGTACTTTAGTTATATCTAATGTGTCACTGTGTACACATACTTGTTTATCTTTTATATTAGGATGATTTTCATCTGTTAATTTTTACATAAGGGAAATCTCTGCAGAAATCCATTTAGGAATAGAGAAACTCATACAAGAAGTTAAGAATTAATTTAGGGGAATCCTACTAAGAAAGCATCCTGAAAAACTAATCTCATCTGGGGTTAGGTCTAAAGTAGATCCACTACCTCATAAATTAATCTGATTGTATAAAAGCAAAAATTTGCATGGAGATGGTATTGGCTGCTTTTCATTAACAGAATCTAACCTTGTACTGTCTTCCTGCAGAAGGATTGTTAGTGAGCCACACAGTCTTCCTGGACTACTTCCAGACTGTGCAGGCTTTTGAGAACCACACTGGTCTAATTCATCATGTCCGTTCTGGTTATTATTACCTTCTTGCTTTTTCTCTACCTCTAAAATCTGAGTCTGTCCTTTATCCAAATTTTTACAGAACACAAAGCACCTTCTGGTTCCATTGCCCCTCCCAGTAGCTCCCTGCCACTATACCAAATCATTCTTTTGGCTTGGAGGAATGTGCCTTTTAAACCAGCTCTCTGGAAAAAAAGTCAATCTATCCAGGTTGTTCAGCCAGGGGAGGACTTCAATTCCTCTCTGGTTCCCCCCAACTCTGTGTCCAAGTTCTTAGGAAGATAAACCTGCATCCTAGCTGGCAGCTGCTCTGCTGTTGTAGGCAGGTGAAAGCCGTTCAGTATTGATGGCTCCTGGATGGTTTTGTTACACCCTTCCAGATAGTTTCCTGTACTGCCAAATCTGTGCTACAAAATAAATGCAGGACCCAGTTCACAAAGCTGTGAGTTACAAATAGTGCCCATAAAGCCAGACAGAAGCTGAGGGCTCTCAGCCCTGTTGGCCAGGCTCTTGCTTCCCCTGTCCTTAGGGGGAAGGACTGCTGCTTCATTTGTATACTCCATTTCAAAGAATTCCATTTTCCACTCCCATAAAGGTATTGCCACCTTTGCTATTGCCACCTTTGCAACATCAGTCTTGCAAAGTTTTGTCCCACGTGAGAACAGAGATGCACGTGAGGTTTAGGAATCCTGCAAGCAAATAAAGATTTTCTTGTATAGCATCATAATGCATGTAGCAGTACGTGCATTTTCAGCGTAGAGTCTATGAGTCTGTCTGGTACTTCCAGGCTTCTTCCCCTAATAATTTATGAGAATGATTTGATGGTTTAATACTGCTTTGTGACAAAAGGAATTTAAGCAATCAATCACATCCAGTCAGGATGGAGCTCATTTGGCAGTATCATAAATTAGGAGAAACTTGCTTTACCTGTGGTGAAGTCATCCCTCTGAGATGATGCATTTTCTGCTGTGAACCAAAGGAAAGCTGTTCTGAAGCAGTAAAATGCGTACCTCGTGATACATTCTCATCATCTGGAAGCATCTTTCAAGTGTGCTTATTGTATGTTATGTGTTTTAAAGAAGGAGGATAAGTGTAGTAGTCTAGCAGGTCATGATGTATTTTTATGTGCTCTGCATTATGTAATTATTTGATGAGGGATTGTAATACACAGATAAAACCATCCTCATTAAGATTATTACAAACCTAGTTTGAATGTACTTTTTCTGCCTCTTTAACTTTTTCGGCAGCACAGCAAGGGTAAGGCAACTTAAGATGTTTTTAGAATAGTTATTTTTGAGTATATTTAAATTACTTCTTAGTATGAATCATGGATAACGGAAACTATGGAATTCATTAGAGATAAAAGGTAAAAGCCTGTTGATAAGAGGGATCATTCCAACTGTGATCAGGTTAGGAGAATGGACTTTGACTGCATTAGTAGTTGCCTCATTTTTACTCTTTGAATTGAATATAAATCTTAGGGTTTGGGTTTGGGGCTTGGTTTGATTTTTTTGTCTGTTTGATTTTTGTTTCTTTGGGCTTGTTTGGTTTTTGTGGTGGTTTTTTTGGTGGTGATGTTTTGGTGTTGGGATTTTTTCTCACTGGATGGAACAGCCTAGTTTTTCTTGTTAAAAAGGATGTGTCATTTATCAATTTGGTTTAATTTTCTTCCAACTGGTCCTGAGCCTTTCTTTGGTCATAACTATTACTAAATTCCTTTTTACTTCACTACCATAAGAAGAAATAATTTTAAAAAACAGATTTCGGTTGTTTCTGCTTATTTTCAAAACTGATGAAGATAAAGGTAATGTTAAAATAAAACCCTCCTATATACACACACAAAGCAGAAGAGCCTACCACTGAGTTCCCTTTAGACAACTATGGTTAATAAAACTTAGAGTATTTCTCAGTCTGAAATTTTTGTTAGGGTTTTTGGTTTCGTTTGGTTTTTGGTTTGTTGGTTTTTTGGGGGAAGGGGGAGAGGGGCGGGGGCTGTATTTAATGCTGTTTAACTTTACTGTTATGTTATGTTAGGATCTAAAGCATTATTTTAAAACAAAAATGAGATACTGCATTTTGAAAACAAAGGCAAAATACTTCCTAAGCTTATTCCCTAAATATTTATCTGGTGCTTTCCATCCCATCTTCTGAAATAAGGCTGTAAATAATAGACCATTTTTTTTTAATATGGGCATTCTTCAGTCAGTACAACCCTGTCATAAACTTTATCATAATGAACAACTTATCATCCTTCCAGGTCTACCACATTTTCAAGAACAAAATGATTTAAAGGGATTGCTAGAAACTCTCCATCAAAATATCCAGGCCAAAAAGAGAAAGAATGTAGAAATCATGTGGCTGGCTGCGACGGTAAGCTCTCTTGTTTCAAATACATTCACATGATGAACTAATTTTCACATGCCTGCTGATACTGTAAGTGAAATGGATTTTAAGCATAAGATTGGAAAACTCAATTATTAAAAGAGGTAGATAGGCTGAAATGGCTCTCTAATATTTCCATTCCAATGGTCTCTCATCCTCTCTCATGAGTATCTCTCTTCTTCCTATGGTTAAATGACAGATATTTTCTTTCTCTCATTTTTTTTAACTGTTAGAACTGTCTAGAACTCAAAGCAAAAAATGGTCTTGGTCACTCTGTTGTCCCCTACATCCTCCAGACGCTTTGGCTGCAGAGCATCTCGTAGCCAGGCAGTCTGTGGCCTGTGCTGCCGCTTGGGGTTGTCTTGTCCCAGATGCAGGAATTTTCATCAATCTCAGTGAGTTGGCTAACAGGATAAAAAGAGGCATGCTTTTTGTTTGGGGCATGGGTTTTTTCTTTATCTGAGCCTAGTTTTAGGCAGAGGTATCCCTTCCTCTCCAGTTTAGGCAGAATCAATTCCGTGGATGATCATGCGTAGCTGTAAACAGATCACCTTATATGACGGACAATACAGTATTCAGCTACAGTATCTAACTTATTTTCTTGTTTAAAATCATATCCATTTTTGATAACATAAGATTTGGTTATTCAAAATATCTTCCTTTTATTGTTTAGTGTCCATAAGTCTTGAGTTACGATGTAGGACATCCTGGCTTTTGTTTAATATTGCTGCGCTCAACTTTTGATTTTCTGTTTTCTATCTTCAACTCTTGGTTTTCTATAATTAAGGTACTGATGCTCTATAAATAAGTGTTCAATTGTATCAGTACGACCTTTAGTCAGTCACATTCAATGTGTGTTGTTTTTTGGGGTTTTGTGTTTTTTTTTTTTTTTTTTTTAGCCGGTGTGACCATGACAGGCATGCCAAAGTCAGTAATACCAACACAAAATAAGCTAGAGATGCAAAGGGCAGACTTTCAGACACAGGGAGAACACGAAGAAAAATGTTGATCAAACAACTTTGCTTTATTCACGTAATTCCTTTTTGTTTCAAAGTTCCATGTTTTTTGGACATACATTGGAACCCTTAGATGTTTATAAAGAGCTCAAGCTTTTCAGGAGTGTGAAACTGAACCAGGTAATTATCTTGGATTTAGAAAAGAGTACCCTTGGTGTCTGCCCAAGCAGAGACTTGAGTCTTTGGTATCTACTGAACTTGAGGCAAGACCTTGTGTTTTGGCGAGCTTTCAAATGCATATAGCTTTCCAGGCAAATAAATATTTGATACAAAATATTAATTACATTTTCCACCACTATAACACCAGGAACAAGACAATATTAACTATGTCTTTGTATTAATAACACTGCTGTAATTTTTTATATTGCTAACATCATTTTGCTTTGTGGTTAATAAATATTATCATATGCTACTGCAGTATGTCTGTTGTGAGTAAAAATATAAGCTTTTCCTGCAGTACTATTTCTGCAATTACTATGAAACATTGCTTTTGAAACAAGTAAAGGATAAATCAATACAGAATAGTATAAAACGAGCTACAAAGAATGTGACAGAATTTACTTAAACGTTGGGTCTAGAAATTGTCTCCTACCTTCTATTGAGGACTCTCTGAAAATAATTTCATGGATAAAAAGCATTCTTTGGACATACAAAGTGCTTCAGATTTTTCCTTCACTGTATTATATTTATCTTTATGTTACCTTACTGTAATCTTCTGAAAGGAGTATTCTGGAGCCGTTGACCTACACACTGTTTTGCTGTGTTACATTTACTTATTGGAAAGGCATGATTCCCTGCTGTAAGGATATCACTTTGTTATTGCAGTGAATGTATGAGACTCTACATGGTTATGCATATATATCTGCACCTGCATATAATAATCTCTGTTTTAATGGGACTGTGAGAATACATTTGCATTTTGCAAGTCAACTTTTGCAAATTGGTATCACAAACGTTTCCTATTCTAAATATAACGGGACTGAGATTTAAATATTATACATTTTTATTTCCTAAGCTGCATCCTTTTTCTTCTGTCTTATATCAGGAGAAATAATCAGAGTATTGATTTATCCTTGTTTTGATCTTAACGGATTTATATGCTTTATCATCCCCTCTTTAAACTTAATCACACTCCTAATCATTTAAATCTGTGTTTGGAAGAGAGAATTTCCAAAGCTCTAATAAATGTTAAGTCTATTTTTCCTCCTCCTATACCTTCAATACAGAAGAAGTGAGCAAAACTGAGGATAAAATTCAGGCTGGACACTAATTGTAAGCTGTATGTTCTGATAGGATAATACTGCCATGTATTTTGTATTGTCTCTTAGGAGATTTCTAGAGTATCAGGTCATTGTGTTCACCCATTTTAATTATTTACTTGGTTTAACTGCTGCTGTTTAGTGAACCGAGTCATTATGAGGATTTGTCTGGGCCAGCCTATCAGGTTATCCTGTGTTTCTCCTTTAATCAGAATCTAAGGATTTTTTAATTTGTTTCTTTAAGTTAACAGATTGCTTTCTATTTAATACACTTAATAATGATTGAGACATTTGTACTGAACTTCAATGCAAAATAAGCTTTTGGCTGTGGCCGCTTGTTTGTTGTGCCTAGAACACTTCTCAGTTCAAAAAATGATGCTCACTAGCCAGCGCTTTATATCTATGCTGCCAGCCCAGATTTGGGATTTAGTCTTCCTTCTCTACATCAGAGGCCATCACTCATCCAGAATAATTACCTGGTTTTTTTTATTAAGACTCATTCACTTTGAATAGTCACAATGACTCATGGACTCCAAAAGAGACTAGTGTAAAATGAATTAATCTCTTCAATTAAGCAGGTAACTTCTTTCAGCCCTTCTTGATATTTCTTTCAAAAAAAACCCCACCTCTTAAAGTGCCATATTTAAATCCCAATGCAACTTTCCGAATCTTTAAATACATCTAAGTTTTAAGATTTTGAATTATTGCAGGGAAGAAACACTCACAGGTTCTCCTTCACTAGCCTGTAATTATTTGGGTTCAAAGTTAGATTCAATCAATTAATTACCTGGATTCAACTTTTGAGATTGCCCTTACCACAATATCATAAAGACCTTAAAGACTGTAAGTATTGTGTGGGCCATTGATTTTAATAGAGTTTCTGAGAATGCAATTAATGGATAAAAAAGTGCTTCTTTGCTGAAGTGAGATTATGAAGGACATGTTCCAGTTTCATCCTGTAAGATCCCAAGTAAACCCTTGACATCCAAGCTGAGAAGATCCTTAGGATGCGGCCTAACTGCTCTAATTTATTGCTTTGCCCTATTCTTACAACTATTTCCTTTTTTAAATCTGCTATAGCTGAGATTGTCCAGGGACAGGAGCAGGCAAACCTGGGCAGAGGATATTACCTGTTATTAGGGCAAAATGCATCAGGGGAAAGGCAGAGCCATACTGGGCACACCAGCTCTCCTTCAAATTTTTCTTTTTCTAGTAAAACGTTGTTCGAACCCAAAGTGTAAACTAATGGGCTGGTACAATGACAAAGTGATTCTTAGTGTGAGCAAATTATCTTTAAAACTATGTCACGGTTCTGTTATCCCTTATAATTTTGTCAAAATGTACAGTAAAAGTAGATACTCCATGGCAGTTATTTGTCTTAAGCTCTGTTTTGAGTCATATGCTGAGCAGTTTACCTGTTGAAAATAATACTGCTTAAATTCAGTACATAGATAGAAGTATCTGTGTCCCTTCTGAGGAGCTAGTCCTCTACGTTCATGAGTCTGAGGTAAAAAAGACTTGTCGAAGTTTGGGGTTTGGGTTTTTTTGGGTTTTTGGGTTTTTTGGTTTTTTTTTCAACATTCATTAGGTGTTAAGACAATTAAGCTTTAATTGAATAGGTTGAGTGCCACAAAGTGAGGAAAAGATGAAGGAACTTTTCCTTTTATAGTCGAGGTTAACACAAATACTTTTTATTTCAAGTCCAAGAAATTGGCTGCAATGGTTTGGTAAGGTGTAGTATGTGCAGACATTCTGGCGACTTGCTTTTTCACAGTATTTTCACCTTTTATGGCACTGTGTCAGGCCAGAATGGGCATAATCCTTAGAATATGAAAATCCCCAGGGCAGCAACAATAGCTGATTTAACTGCAAAGACACACGTCAGCAGCTGTATGATTCAGGTTAGAGCTACTACCTTTTAATAGCTATTTTCTTCTTGAGAAATACTGTAGTTCCCTGTATTCGTTGTCTGTGACTGCAAAACTGTGGGCGTTTTGCAGTCTGCCTAGCGTGTAGGGAACACAAGGTGTGAAAAGGGCAATGCTTTGACGTCTGCCTGTGTTCCAGATTTGCCGTAAGCTGAATGGAGTCCGTTTCACCTGTTGCAAAAGTGCCAAAGACCGGACATCCATGTCGGTGACGCTGGAGCAGTGCTCCATCTTGAGGGACGAACATCAGCTTCACAAAGACTTCTTTATTCGGGCTCTGGACTGTATGAGAAGGTATGTGGAGATTTTTGCATGTCCCTTGCATTTTGAGCTAAGCCAGGAACTACGGTACAGAGCAGGCTAAAGCCAGTTGGAAGTGCGCGATAGTCCCCAGCTCTGATTTAGCAGGGAAGTGACCAGCAGCATGCCAGCTGGTACGTCACTTCTGCACACAAGGTCTTTGCAAACTGCGTGTTTTATCAATAAGCAGCAGTTTCTGAGATCAGTTCGTGAAACCTTGTAAGGGTCACTTCACTGATTAGCATTTGACCAAGGGAATTAGCAGTTATTTTAACAATTTCATAGGCTTTCATAAGACTTAAAATTTTAACAACATTCTAGAACCACATTAAAAAATATGTTATTTTCTGGTTTAAAAATATTTTTTAAATGTTTATAGTGTGTATAATGTTTAGATAAATATTGTGACAGCAGAATAAGCATTTGTTACAGTTGACAATTCTTATTAGTTCATGTTATTAAAAATAAAAGAAATAGCTAAGGAGGTTTGGACTGATGGTGGCTGCCACTAATATCTGATAAAATCTTTACTGTGCTTCAAGAAAAAAAAATTAAGAACATTTTATTCTAAATTACAACTGTGCAGAAATTGAGGGTGATGTTAGGAGGAATGTGTGATTAAAAGATGCAAAGATTTCTCACTATTTGAATCTTTGATGAATTAAAAAAAAAATTAAGCAGGCAAGTTGTGATCATAAAATTAGTCTAGATGCTATCTTCTCTAAAGAAACTTTCATCATTGGCTTTACTGAGTACTGAATTTTATTTTCCATAAGAGCTGAAAAAAGTTATCCACAGCATTCAGATAATATATAGTAAAGGTCACTGCAAAACTAATAGAAAATACTCTGCTCAGCCTGCGAAGACGTAATTGCATCATGTCTTGCACTTTGGTGAAACACAAGTTGTTTGTATGTTGGGTTTGCAAAGATCATACTAAGTAATCAATCATATTTAAAGTCTGTAACTGATAATTCTTCACCTTAATATTGAGTATTGTCAGATTAGGTGTTTAATGTCTAGATTAGTAATGTAGTTTCACACTGGTAGGGTCCTTTTGGCTTTCAGCAAAGACATTCTAAAGGAAAAAGGTAATGTTTACGAAGAATAATTGAGCAGAGGACTAAGATGGCTTAGATGTAGAGTTGGTTTGCAAGGTGCTAGTGAAGTGTGATGTATTAAACTGAGGTGTATCATTTTGTACATGTCATTGGCTTCCACAAATCCCTTAGTCTCTGCAGTATTTCAGTGAGTGAATGACTTGTATGCAGTCTTTCATAACCACGTTTCAACATTAATGAAAAAATTCTGAGTTTTCTTTGTTAAATTTCGTTTGTGTTGGCATTTCAAATATGTTTTTTCTTTTATGTCTCCAACAAATAAAAAAGTATGTAAGCTGTAGTAAATTAGGAGATAGCCGCAAAATAATTCTACAAAATCATTATTCTGTTAGAATAGCATTAAGTAGTATATTAGAAAAGTTTCACAGATACAAACCTGATTTAATAAAAAATAAAAGCCCTGATATTTACTCAAACTAACTTATTAGTACAAAAGTGTAGTAGTTTTTTTGTAGATTAAAATGTAAGCAACTTAGAGTGCTTTTAAATCACATTAACTGATCTGAAAGCTAAGAAGATTAACGCATTAGTCACATTGCAGACAACACTAAATTGTAGTCACAAAAGAATGGTGAAAAGCCCAGAAAATCTGGAGAAACTTCAAAAACAAATGAATAGATGGGTATATGAGCTTGAAGCACCATCACAAAAATGTTAGCTCTGTGTTCTTGCTGTAGATTTAAACAGAGAAAAGCTGTATCCTGCTAATATCCTGTAAATAAATTTGAAAAGCTTTGAACTGAAGTGGATGCTATGTTGGATGGAAGGTAATAATTTTGACTTGGGTGGTAGGATTGTCTGGGACATATAGCAAGGGCCTTGCAAGTAGTGGCAGAAGCATACAAAATAACCACCACCATTGGGATAATACGTTAATAGATAGAGTTCTTCCCTATGCTAGTTTCTGTCTGTATAACACTGTTCACGTAATTGAAGGTTTTCTTAAAAAAATGATCAGGTAACTTTTTTTTCTCATGAGCTGGTGAATGAAAGCCCCAAAAAATCCTAATAGAAGAATAAAAATGTGTAATGGGGACATGTAGTCCTGAACTCAGTGGTACACTCATCGAGAGTTGGTCAGACAGGTTTAAGAGCTGTGTTTGGGTGCTCTTTGTGGTGTCTTTGGTGCTACAGACATTCAGCAGGGACTGTTGCTCCCCCCCAGCTGCCCATATGCTGCTGGAGGCGCCTAGGGAGCGGTGCTGGGAGCTGCAGGCTCTTCTCCCTCTCCGCTGCTCACTGGGCGGTGTGGCCAGGACCCTCCAGCTTGGCTCTCCTCTGGTAGGCAGCAAAGGGCAGAAAGGGCAATTGCAGAGAAGGGCAATTTGAGAGAGCGGACTGGGAAGGAGAGAACAGCCAGGCAAAAGAGAAGAGGGAGAAAAGCCATACTTTACACAGGAAGAGATATAATGTCATTTCAACTAAATCTCCTGTATTTTACTTGTGGGAAGCTTGGCAGCTACATTTTTGAGGTTTGTATGAATGAGGTCAACAGACTTGTTTGGTAGTCACTGTGATGCTTGCCCTTTTATCCTTTCTTTTTATTTGATTACTATTGCAGAGTGTTATTTGAAAGATTATGCTGTGCATTTCTAAGCTTCTCATTGACTTGTAGAAGCTTTCAGAATGATTTTCACATCTATTTTGTTTTAAGAGCAGACAGAGAAAAACTGTTTGCCTTTTCATTTTAGCAATTTCCCCTGATGAATCTTCTCTAGATCACTTAGTTAAACTCTGTCAATCAAATCCCTTTATGCTGATTGCCACAAATCACTTTTAAGCCTTTCAAAAGAACAAGTAGACAAGAAAAATTCATTTTTAACATCCAGAATCCTAACAGACTGGATTGACCTTTGAAAGGTTTCCTTCAAGAGTTAACAGTAAGAGATAGAGAGTACTGTGAAACAAAGTGAGCTGTAAAAGTAAATGGCGATTCAAAAGCAGCCTTTATTGGAAATGCCATAATTTTGAGATAGGAAAATTATAAAGGTGCCTGTGTAGCTGTAAAGCTTTTTCTTTTCCTGCCAGTGCTGGCACAGCTCTGCTGGCTGGTAAAAGGGAAGCATGTGCTTATGGGTGGCTTTCTTGCCACCAGACATTTGGAGATGCTGGACTTCTGTGTGCTGCTGCTTTTCAGTTTCTCTGATGTCCCTAAAATTTTCAGCAAACCAGAGGCAGTTTTCAGATGTTTCAGTGTGTTTGCTTCAATGTACATCGCACAACACTGTTTTCAAAAATACTGCCAGTAGCTGTTATTTAATGACTTATTTTGTAAGTGGAATCAGTGCCTTGTAGGGATAAACTATATTGTGTTTATCACTTTAAAAAAAAAAAAACCAACATACCCTGTGCATAAATCCTTCCACTAGTTTTCCCTTTAATGTGGAAAATTAAAAGTGGTGAAACCATAATAGGAATCAAAGCATTATCAGTTACAGTGTCAAAAATGGTTTTGTCTTCTGGATGTAACTCTAGCCATTGCGATGCTGCAATTTATGGAATATCCACTTCACATACACATCAATAATTCTACATATTACAGTTTTCTTGGTATATGTATGTGACTTCTGTTGATCTTAGTGGCATGCATAGTGCAGGATGAGGAAAATCAATACATTATTCCCATTGTTTCAAGTGCTTGCAATTCACATCATATTAACATCCTATCTGTAATGTTGGAGCCGCTTTCAAATCATCACTTTTCGCAATCATCAATATTCTTTTCTTACTTTTCCCTTCAATAATATGTGAATATTTCTTATCATTCAGTGGTAACAATATTCCAAGAGACAGCAGAGAAACAAAACTGATTTACCTGAGTTCATTGCGGTATCTGTCACACAATTCTACCTTTCATCTTTAGAACTGATCAGTGCTTCAAGGAGGTTGGACCCTGGTAGGCAACACACTATGTAGCAGTTCTGTAAAACTCGTTTGATTTGGGTTTTTTCTTTCTTTTTTTCTTTTTTCTTCTTTTCTGAACCTTCTTAATTTTAGTATTTTGGTGATGGGGCTCCTTTTGGAGGCCTTGGGTCATGAGTAACCTTAGAATCTGGGTTTTGAGCAGGTTTCCAGTAAAACCTCAAAAGTAAAAACAAGCGAGTGGCGGTGAAGCCTTCAAGCTTTCCGCCTCATCATCATTCTTATCATACCTGTCAGATATTTCAGACATTGAATACAAAATTTAACTCAATTTGGGATACACTGTTTTCACCTGAAACTGCATTCAATGATATTCAGGTTATTTTAGATAAATTGCCTAATAGAAGTCTGATTGAAGCACAAATAAAACCAATTAATTGTCTGGGCAACAATAAATGGGATTTTGATGGCCCAGTTATGAAGCAAATAGCTCTGTTTTTAAGGAGCTGTTTGAGAGCATCTTTTCTTAAAGATCATCCTAAAGATGTGTGAGTTGAGAAGGAGGTACAGCTGTCATAGGTCAGGGACTTGCAGATGTTCTGGGTAAAAACCATAGGTCCAGGCTCAGATGGACCTTGATGATGGAAGGGTATTTGCCAAACAACACAGTGTTGTGACTGCTACATGGACTAGGAAGCAGGAGCAATGGGACAGGATGAGAGACTTGGATCCACATGCCTATCATCCTCTGCCTTTCTCCCATCTCCCAGCTTTCACCCTGCCCCTGCAAACTTGTGGCAACAGATGCAGTGTGAGGAGTCACACAAAGAGGAAACACGTTCTCCTCTTACTTTTTCTTTTTCCAGCCTATCTGACCTTGTCCATCTTTTTCTCTGAGAGTATTAGCACAGTGTAAACAAAACTTAAAAGGGAGAGCCTGGCTTTCAACATAGATTTGCCTATAATTCCATGGTTCTTCAAAAACTTCACATTTATATTTTGAGGTACAAA